ACTCGCTGGCCTATGTGGACTACAAGACGGCGCTGCAGGTGGACTGCTCCGTGCAGGCGGCGCACGATGGAGTCAACAGGTGAGGAACGGTGCCCGGTGCCCGCAGCTGGTGCTGCTGCTCCAACCGTGCTCATTCCTGGCAGGACCAAGCTGGGTACCAGGCACACGGGGCCCTGGCTGTGCTCCTCTGCCTGGCAGTGCCTTTCAAAGTGCTGGTCGAAGTCTGGGAATGATTGCTGTGGGACTCTTTTTGCTTTGCTCAGTGCCTGGTTAAAGGAAATAGTGAAATAAAGTTCAGTGCCCTATCCTTTAAGCCTCTCTGTGTTTACAGGCTGCTATAGGCCCTGTTCTCTTTCTGGTGCCCTCTGCTTGCCAGACCAAGGAGTGAAATGCATGGCTCTTGCTCACCTGAGCAGCCCCAGTCCGTGTCCAGTTGTATTTTTAACCCTGATGGTGTGAAATTAATCTTTTTGCAAATGTCCTGTCTGTAGAACAAACCTAGCTGAGATGCATGTAAAGGAATCAGAGAGATGCTGTTCTTAATGCACAAGCCAGGTTAAAAGTGACCTGGCTGGTACTGCGTGGCCCAGCCAGGGTGACTGGGAGCTGTCTCTTCCAGGATGACTAAAGCCCTGCTGGAAAAGGATGGTGTGAACTGGCGTCAGAAGCTGCCACCAATCCCCACAGTGCCTGTTTCTGCCCAGACGAGGTGGAGCGTTCCTTCTGCCCAGGCCTCTGGGGCAAACACTCCTCCTGCAGCTGCACCACGGGGAGAAGGAGGTGGGAGCGTGCCCTTGGGCTGGGCAGAGAGCCCTGTAGTCCCAAGGGTGATGAACAAGACAGCTGCCACACCTGCTTGGTGTGTCTGCAGCCAGGGCTGAGGCCTGGAGAAACCCAGGCCTGGTTCTGCCACAGCCTTTTCTGTTGATTCTGGTTTCTTTGATGTCTGTGTGTCTTGCCTCTGGTATGGGGATATTTGTTTTCTGTGAGGCTGTGGTATTCTTGTTGGTTTTATAGAGTTCTGTATCCTTTCACACCATTTCCAGACAACACTGCAGCTGGCATGGAAAGAGCTAGAGTGCTTAAGGAAGAAGGAAATGAATTAGTGAAGAAAGGAAACCATAAAAAAGCAGTAGAGAAGTACACTGAGAGTTTAAAGCTCAACAAGGAATGTGCAACTTACACCAACAGGTACTGTTCAGCTCTTTGCCCAACTATTTCTTGGACCTGTATAAAAACCACCATGGCACTTCCTGGCAGAACTGTTTAATATTTGCTCTCAAACTAATGAATAAAACAAAACCACCCCCTCAGGTTCACCCCAAGTGCAGCCTCCCCTGTAGTGTAACATTCTTTGATCAGGTACTACAGAACCCCTTGGAGACACTGCCCTCTGGGCTACCAGGGCATTTTGCCCTTGACTGCTTTGTCTGACAGGACTTGGGTATGTTGAGTGGTCTCTCCTCTCCTACACACCTCAGACTCTGTTCTTGAACACTCAAAGTACTTGTAAGGCAGTTGCAGCAGGCAGAGCAGGTGCTGCACTGGCAGAGGCAGGAACCTGCATCCTCCAAGTGCACTTTGTCTTTAGGGCAGGTTGCTCTAAACATCTTCCTTTTTGTTTCTTTGAAAAACCATTTCCTTTTTTCCCCTCCCTGTCAATAAAACAAACTCTTGAGCTCCAGAATAAATGACACAACACATGAGGATGGTTTTGGAGCCCAGCTCTGTGCTGCCCTGGCAGCTGCTCTGTTGTGGCTGTGGATGCTGCCAAAGGTCTCTGAGCAGGTGTGTGTGTGTTGCAGAGCTCTCTGTTACCTGAGTCTGAAGCAATACAAGGAAGCAGCACAGGACTGCACTGAAGCTCTCAAGTTGGATCCTAAGAATGTCAAGGCACTCTACAGGCGTGCTCAAGCACTTAAAGAGCTGAAGGTAAGTCAGGAGTTTCTGCAGGGCTTTAGGCTAGGACTAGATGGCTGTTGGTGCATGATCAGAGCCAGAGATGCCCTTTAGGGCTTTTTTCTGTGCTAGAGAACCTCTGCCATCAGACCTTTAAGGACTGAGAGTCAGGCATCACGCTTTGCTCTTTGAATCTCATGAGTTTGTCAGCATTAGGTCCTATTTCTAGAGATGCTGAAGGCAGCTGCTTTTCACAGAATCACAGACTATGCTGAGTTAGAAGGGGCCCACAGGGACCCTCGAGTCCAGCTCCTCACCCTGCACAGCACCATCCCCACCAATGATACCCCGGGACCAAGAGCATTGTGCAAACACTTCTTGGGCTCTCTCGGGCTTGGTGCTGTGACCACATCCCTGGGGAGCCTGTTCAACGCCCAACCAACCCCCGGGGGAAAAAACCTTTCCCAATACACAACCCAAACCTCCCCTGACACAACTTCAGGCCATTCCCACAGATCCTGTCCCTGGTCCCCACAGAGGCCAGGGTTGTGTTGAGCTTTATCTTTTTGTCTCACGAGGAATGCAGGAGTCTGTACTGGAGTACACATTGCATTGGTGTTGGAGTCAGAATGCACTTGAGTGATGAAATTATCTTCTCTTCTCAGCCCTACTTTGAGCATGTTTTAGAATAGCTACATCAATGTCAGTGCTTGAGCAGTCCCAGAGAGGGAGTCACAGGCTTGACTGTGCTGTCCTTGCCTCTGTTGCTGGGCAGTAGTTCTGCCTTAGACTTTTTTAATGCACTACCCCTTCTGTCACGAACATATTTTATGAAAAATCCTTTCAATGGGATTTTTCTCCTGAGAGAAGCTGAGAGGCCTCAGAAATGAAATGTAAACAATGGTTATCTGCTGCTGTGGAATGCAACAGGTGCATCTGGGATTGGTCTCATGCGGTTGTTATTAATTAATGGCCAATCACAGTCTGGCTGCCTCAGACTCTCTGGTCAGTCACAAGATTTTATTATTCCATTCCTTTTTATTCCTTGCTAGCCTTCTGATGAAATCCTTTCTTCTTTTAGTATAGTTTTGATATATAATTTTCTTTTAATATAATATATATCATAAAATAATAGATCAGCCTTCTGAAACATGGAGTCAAGCTTCTCATCTCTTCCCATGTCGGAGTTGCCTGCAAATTCAACAGCCCTTCACTTTCTAGGATTTCATATTAATGAAATAAAATATATATGAAATAAATTATTAATGAAATAAAAATATAAAATATTCTCTTTCTAGGATTACAAATCAAGTATTGCTGACATCAAGAGCTTGTTGAAAACTGAACCAAAGAACACAGCTGCACTGAGATTACTGCAAGAACTGAACAGAGCCTAGGGTAACCAAGCAACCAGGAAAGCTTTCTTTTCCACTGCAGAGAAAAGCTTTTTCCTTCTGCTGTTGATACAGGGACCAGTCAATGCAGGATTGGTGTTAAATCTATCTATTTTCCAGTGCTGCTGAGATCTGAGAGGTTCTGTACCAGCACAGTGATTGCTAAGACATAATCTGTATCAAACTCTATTCAGCTGGCTCTGTGATATGCATAGCTTTAGTGCCCCTCCCCAAGAGGCATTTAGGTTCATTTTCCTGGTTGAAGTCAACTTGCCTCTAACTATATTGGCCTCAGGGACTCTTTACATGTTGGCTGAGATGCACAGGAGTGGCTGTTCTGTCTGAAGAGCTACAAGCAGAGGGGTTTTAGTCCTTATTCAGGTGACAGTTTTGCTGCATTTGTGCTGCTATTACTGAAAGAAAGTGGCTGCAAGAACTGCTGTAGTTGCCAGAGCACCACATACCCTTCTTGTGGCAGGGGCACAGTTACTGCACAGGGCCAAGCTTGTTCCCTCTCGCCCCTGATGCCTGCTGGCCCTCAGCTGGGTTCTGCTGCTTTGTGTGGCTGGGCAGATGTTTACAGTAGCAGCTTTCTTGAATTATTCTGTACATTTAAGAGAACAGCAGCAAGTTCAGCCTGCCTTGTTACACTGTGCACTATTCTTTCAGATTCTGGGTGCTTGGGAATTTTGCAAAGGTTTTTTTTGTCTTGTGTTTTTTGTAAAGATAAAAACAAAAACAAAAAAAAAAACCACTTTAGCTCCTCTGTGCCTTTTGGAGCAGTCGCTATGGGGTGTTAGAGGGAGGAAAATACACAGTAACACCCCAGCTGAGGTCTGGCTTACTACTTCAATGCATGTTTAAATTTCTCCTGATCTGATATTGATGGCACTGATTTTAAATGGTAGAGAAAGAGATACTTGGAGTTACTTGTGAACTGTTAAAACTTGTTCTCATTAAAGCCATGTTTATTTTCACTCTAGGACTGTGTTTTTTTGTGATGGATGGAATAGGGGAAGGGAAACACATGCTTAACCATTTCATCCTGTCTCCTCCGTTTGTCAGAGGCCTTCAGGCACTGTACAGGGCTTTGCTCTTTCAGACAGTGACCTCAGCTCATAGTTGCTATTAAAGTTAAGAGTTCAGAGAGCCAGAAAGCTCCAGGGACACTGGGGCTGGGAAAGGCATGGCAAGGAGAGCACAGCACTGCATCAGGGTTTCCAACCATTATTCAGCTTTGCCCTCTACTTCAGCTAGTAAAATTCTGGGCAATGCTAGACCTGATCCATCTCATAATACAGTATAATAAGATAATGAGAAACTAGCCCTTGGTCAGGGTTCAAAAATATTTGTTTCCTACCTTGTCTCTCCCAGCAGTGTTTCAGGCAGGTACCCCACTGAATTGAATTTTGAGAGCAATCCCTGTAATGCCATTGAAGACAAAGACCTCTTACCTTAGCCTGACATTAAACAGCTTTTTGCAGTTCCCAGGGCTATACTCCATCAGCTGTAATGTGCCAGGGCTTGGAACAAGCCCTCCCTGAGGGGCACAGATTGCTCCATTCACTCAATTCCTGCTTCCAAGCCTGGCAGCTCCATTGATCCCACAGCCAGCCCTTGCCCAGGCTGTTGGGGCAGCTGTGATGGATTCCAGGGAGGGGAAGCAGAGCACAGAAGCACTAGGAGAGGGAGTCCAAGAGTCCAGAAGTAGGACTGGCTTCACTCAATTGAGAGCTCTCCTTTTGGCAGCCCTGCTGGTCCCTGAGTGGCAGACACCTGCGCTGTTCAACAGCAGCTCATTACAGCACCCCTAAGCAGCAGCAGTCACCATCTCCTTCCCCTCAAAACAGCAGGTTTGTTTGTGCCTGATACCAAAGATTTCCCCAGCAACAGCAGCAGTGAGGCACCACTGCAAGCTCAGGGTCACTTCTGCTCCTGCTGAGGGGCTGCTGTCTGTGCTGACACTGCCCAGATGGGCAAAGGGACACAGAGGGGGTTTGTGACAGGGACTCACCTTCTCCCTGCCCCTCTCAGACACAGCAGCTGCTCCAGACTCATTTGCATTGCTACCTCAACTCCCTAAAGCCTCGGACTGCAGCCAGGGAGCTACTCTGAATAATTTCCAGTATCATCAGGGATCCAAGTGCCAGCTTCACCTTTTCTGATCATCATTTTAAAACCTCTTGTCCTTGTTCACATCCTTTCAGAGGCTATTCTGCTATCCCTGTGTTCCTGGGCCCCACCTCTGGTTTTAAGGAGGGCTCACCCAGCACAGACACCTGGCACTGTAGGTGGTGTCACAGGCACACCTGAAGTGCCCTGTTACACCTGAAAAAAGGCTGCAGCCAAGCTAAACAACAGCAGAATGAAGTTTGCCTGTACATCTCCATTCCACCTCTCCTTTTGTGCATTACACTCCTGCTAATACGTGTTTTTCCTCTAGAGACCAAGCAGAAAAGCTTCCAGCCCCTGGCAGTTAGAGAAATAACAAATATGGGTCCTGTATATTAAATGAATTAAAGTCCTTTATAAACATCTCACTGAGGAGATGATATCTAAACAGTGAACAGTTCAGGCTGAGGCATCCACTAAGAGGAAAATAAATATTTAAGGACATCAGAGGAAGAACTGGTGAAATGAAGGTGAGAAAAAGGAATGATGAAAAGCCCCAGCAAAGAATCCCAGTGGAGCAGAGCAGACACCATGCAGGAGCAAATGTGTAAGTGGTTCTATTAAAATGCTGGAAGGAAAACAAGAGGTAGGAGGGGTGACTCAGCAGGGAGCTGAAGGGAGAGTATGATACAGCACAGAAGGAAGATTGAGACAGCAAAAGCAGCAGAAGCTGCACAGAAAGCAGGTGGGTGGTGCTGGTGGAGGTGTGCTCCTGCAGTCAGGTGAGGTCAGTGCATCACCAGCCTCAAGCACTGAGGAGACTCCAGGGACTGAGATTCCTTTCCTGACTAGGCAGAGCAGAGCATTAAGGGCAGGGTAAAGGCAGCAGTAACCGGTCCCAGCTCCCCCTGCAAGCAGGAGGTGTCCTTGTGGGACACAATGCAGTCATGAATGCTTGCAGGCACTTCAGTGACTCCTGGGAACCTCTGCTCAGAGACATACATTGGAAATGCAGCTTTTGATTTACAGCTGCCTCACAACACCTCAAAAAGTTGGTCTTGTGCAGCACAGACACACAGACCCTGTGGTGAGCAGCAGGAGACACCAGAGGCCATTGCTGCAGGTCTACAAGGTTCAGTACTGGAAGAGAACAGCATCAATCCATCCATCCTGTTTTGCTTAAATCCATCCTCCTAGGGAATCAGAAAGGATTAGAGGAGCCTGTTGGTTGGCAATTTGATAATGTAATGCTCTATGTCCCTTCTGTCAGCTCTCCAGACTGACACCCCACCAGTGCCTCAAACTTCAATCCCTCATTTCTGCAGCCTGAGCCCATCCTTCCACCTGGGAGAAGCAAAGCCTTGTCTGTGCCCCTGCCAAGGGAACTAACCCATTTATGGGGGTGGAAGTATCTGCTCTTTATTAGTGTCAGCTACATGAAAAAATGAAACTACAGAACCCAATAAATTCACTAAAATGATGATTCATCAGCACTCATCATTTTCTGGGCAGCTGCCCCAGGCTGGGTTCCACACCACATTTCACAAGGTGCTTTCAATGGCAAGAAGAGATTTAATGTGAGGATTTTTACAGGTGCAGGAGGAGGCAGTTCTACAGGGGTTACAATACACACAAGCAATAGGATGGGGAATTTGAAGACAAGCCAGGGTCACTGTATGGGCATGATTCCAACAGCATGGTCGGGTTCCTGCTCCTCTTCTTCAACAGCAACATTCTCAGGGCCTGCTCTCAGTCCCATAGCCTGCAAGAAACAGAGAACCCACACATGTAATTTTCAACTGCTAAAGGAAGAGTTTCATTCAGAAAACATGATATTCACCTGAACTTGGATTAACACTGTTACTTTGATATCATAAGTCAAGAAGATGTCTGAAATATCTTCAAAGGGGTGCATACAGTCTGAATTGCTTTGTTAGTGTGTCTATCCCAGCCTCAGCAGCAGGGCCTGTTCCCTGATGAAGTACACAAAGAATGTTTTATAGGGTGTCTACAATAAAAACCAAAAAAACAAACCACTGGGAACCCCCAGGAAAGATTGTGCTGGTCTCCAATAGACCTACAGAAAAGCAAGGACCTTTCCTATATTCCTTTCTGGTAGCAGAGTCATTGCCCTCATCAACATAGAAACAACCCGCACAGGTCTTTGTGGTACAACTAAATCCAGAAAACAGAATGCAATTTAAGAAATGGAATATTACAGTCAAACACACTGATACTGCTCATTTAACCTTACTTGGGCTGGATGAGAAGCCCAATCCCCAATCCCAGAGTTATAAACCAGAGGCTCTGAGCACAGCAGGGCCCCAGCACGCACCTGGAGTCAGGGCAGGAAGGCCCCAGCAGGGCCCTTGTGGGCACCCTCGGTGCTCTGGTGTGCCTGGAGAACGGTCACGGCTTCCTCGATCTGCCAACAGAGCACAAGGGGAGGAGTGGAGCTGCTCCAGGGAAAACTGCACCAGGAGCTCAACACTGCAGGTCCCCCCAGACCCGCTCTCAAAAGGTAAAGGACTCAAATAATTACAAAATCCAAGCCTGCTCCTTCTGCAGGAGACTGATCAGCCCAAAGAGCTTTTCTGTCTCTTACCAAGGGAAATTCTGAGGCATCTCTCCTTTATTATCAAGTCAGAACTTGCTAGACAGAAGGCAGATTTCACAGGTAAAGCTACACCTGACACGACCCAGCAGAGCCCAGGCTCCTCAAAAACACAGCAGTGGAGGGGTGAAAGCAGCTCCTGTCTCCAAGGAGCAACAAAAAGATGCAGTCAACTCGCTCCAACTACTTTGATGGGAACCAAACCTAAATATTTACCAGAATTAAGAAGGAAACTGCAGAAATACTGCAGAGAGGCAGCAGTTTGCCTGGTTTCTGTTCTGAGGAAAGAGCTGCTTCCATGTAGAGATACCACCCTGCTTCTCCCCTCTTGCTTCCCAGCCACCTCCAAACCACCCTCAAGCTTGGTCTGTGCTATCAGGGAGCTGCTTCCAGCTTGTCCTTCTGCTGAGGGCAAGCAGACATCCAGGCACTGGGTGTGGTGACATCAACCTGGGGCTCCTTTTTCACTTGAAAATAAAACCAGCAGCTGCTTGCTCTTCCCACAGTGACCAGTGTGCTGGGCTGTGCTCCCCTCCCTTGCAGCAGCAGGAAATCAGCCCTTTGGAAAGGGATTTGTCTGGGCACTGAGTGTCCTACCTTGGAGCGCAGGGAGTCTGGGGACTCCAGGAGCAGCAGCAGCTCAGAGTTGTCAATCTCCAGCAGCATCCCAGTGATCTTGCCAGCCAGTGAGGGATGCATCACATGGATCAGAGGGTAGAGGCGCTCACCTGCTCCAAACAGCAGCCAGAGCATGAGAAACATGCAAGCCCCCAGCATTTTCTAACCCACTGCAAGCCCTCCTCAGCCTAACTGGGACACAAGGGTGGTGATGGTGGTGGGAAAACCACTGCTCACAGGCAGAGCTGCTCCAGCACGTCTCAGCCACAGGAAGCTGCTGGGTGAAGTCAGCAGCAGGCACCTGCAGTGGGCACCAGGCAGTGGAGCTGGGCACTCCTGCCCACCCCTGCACAGTTTCTGCAGTTTTCTCCTGGGAGCAAAGGGCTGGTCTGTTGTAGCTATGATATTTTCTGAAAAAATCTTTTCTTTAGGATTTTTCCTCCTGAGAAGCTGAAAGGCCTCAGGAACAAAATGTAAACATTGATTATCTGCTGCTGTGAAATGCAACAGGTGGATCTGTGATTGGTCTCATGTGGATGTTTCTAATTAATGGCCAGTCACTGTCCAGCTGTTGGGACTGTCTCTGTCAGTCACAAGCCTTTGTTATCATTCATCTTCTATTCTTAGCTGGCCTTCTGATGAAATCCTTTCTTCTATTCTTTCAGTATAGTTTTAATAACATATATATCATAAAATAATAAATCAGCCTTCTGAAACATGGAGTCAGATCCTCATCTCTTCCCTCATCCTAAGATCCCTGAGAACACCACAGTCTGTGACCTGCTGTGCTTTGGCCAGACCAAGTGATGCTGTCCCACACCAGGGCACTGCCTGCTCCACCACAGAACACCTGAAACCCAAGGGCTGTGTGGCACAGCTGACCTCAACCCCCATGGCCACAAGCTGTTCATCACTGCAGGATGGCTCAGAGCTCAGGGGAATGGCAAATGCCCTGGCAGCACAGGCAGGCTGGATGGAGCTCTGCCTCTCTGCAAAGCTTCACCAGACACTTCTCACTGTCAGGCAGCTCATGCAGACAGGGAGTGGCTTTATTGCTCCCATCCACTTCCAACACAAACTGAATTTATTATTATTTTTCTTTAAGCAGCATAATATCAGAGCAATCCCACAAAGCCTTGCAGCTTCTCCCAGCAGTTAATTCTGCCCTGGTGCATGCAAGCCCATGTGCCCCCAGGGGCCCTGCAGCTGGACCTGCTCCAGCAGAGCAGCCTGGCACCCACCTATCATTTGCTTCTGCTCCTGAGGAGGGGCTGCTGCAAGCAAGGATGCTGTCAGTGGCTCCTGCCCCTGGACATGCACAGCAGGTTCTCCCACCTGGGGGGAAAAAACAGGGAAGAACAGCAATCAAAGGCTGGAAGGGATGTGAGTTACTTGAATTGCAGGAATGGTGCTCACTACCAACCGCAACGGGGCATTTCAGCCTTCCAAGATGCACTGTCTGTTTGTATTCAAACAGCAGCTTGCAGAAAAGCTGGAATCAAGCATTGGAGCTGTGTGGCTGCTGGATCCACAGCCCTACTCACAGAGCATGGGGATCCTGCTCTCGGATAATGTGACTGCTGAGCCCAGGAAATGTCACATTTTGACGGCTGCAGAGCACTGACCTGTGGGGCCAGCATGGGTGGCATGTGCCCCATGGGCTGCATGTTCCTGGCAGAGGAGGAGTACTTGTACTGCTGGGCTCCCCTTGGCAGGGCAGATGAGGAGGGCACCCGGGTGCTCACTGTCTGTGTCCCGATGTTGGCTGCAGTGGGGACAAGAACATTTGTGAGGAGGGGTCCTTAAGTGCATGCCCGTGCCAAGGAGGCTGAAGGCACAAGGACAGCGTGCTTGTTTGAAGGGTCTGAAAAGTCCTACAGGGGCTCAAAGCAGCCCCCAGGTGAAAGGGAGCTCCCCCAGGACAGGCAGGCGCTGCTGCCCTTGGGGTGGGGTGCTCTGGTGTTGTGCAGGGGGCAGGAGAGCTGGCAAAGGCACCCACAGCTCGTCAGCCCTCCTGCAGAAACCCATCAGCAGCCAGAGAAGGGGAACAGCACTGGGCAGGGTGGGCTGTGAGAGCCTTGTCTGCCTGCCCATCCTGAAGGGAGGAGAAGGCAGAGAAATGAGAGGACAAGGACAAAAGGAGAGGGGACAAGCCACAGACAGCCCTCCTGGTCCCACTGCACACTTCAGGAATTAGACACTCAGTGTCTACAATCCCATGAAGATGGGAAGGCTGTAGGCAGTCACTGCCCCAGATGGCATGTGTGGAGGGGACACCCCAAGACCCAGGGCCAGCCTCAGCACAGCCAGGCACTGGGGATGCCAGCAAGGTCTGGTTTTCAGCTCCAAACCCCTCTAACATCAGGCTTGGCATTGGCAGCAGTTCAGCCTGTAAGATCCCTTCCTGCTCCCCAAAGATCCTTTCCCACCCCCTGCCTTTGTCCAAGCACCAAGCCCAGGGGCTGTGGCTGCATCACCACCTGCTTTAAGGATCGTATTCAGGGTGTAGCCACCAAAAAGACGAATCTGCACATCAGAAACCTGTCCCATTACCTCAAAGATCCCAACCTTCCCCAAAAGTTACATAGCTCCTACAGACATTGCCCCAACTCCATCCCACCATGAGCAACCCCACAAACCAATCCATCCTACTGGGGACCTGAGCTCACAGTAAGCACCCCAGCCACCCTGGAGATTCCACGGGGGTCCTTCCCCCACTCACCCACTCTCTGGGCCTGGGGGGGCACTCGGGGCACCTGGGTGGAGGCCTGTCTGGTGGTGCTGATGTTGGACAGCAGGCGCCGGGGCGGCACTGCAGCCCTCAGGATGGGGGTGGCTTCAGGGTACACTGCTGCAGAGAGAGAGAGAATACACACCATGGAACTGCTGGGGAGCAGAGGCATGGAAGGAGACGTGGGGAGAGTGGCTGTGGCTGGGGACAGTTCAGGAGCACCTCACCTCTGGTGTCCCTGCCAACATCTCACCTCCCGGTGCCCATCACCATGACCCTGCACCGAATCCTGCACACTTTTCCCAAGATAAACCCCCATGGTTACACACTCCCGGCTGCTTTTAAAGCCCCTCAGTCCCTGGCTGAGCCCAGCTGGTGCCAAGAGCCCCCAGGGAGAGGCAGGCAGACTCACAGGGAGGCCGGGAGGGCTGTGCACTCCAGCGAGTGGCAGGGCGGACTGGGACTACAGGGCTGGGGCCATAGAAGGCAGCTCTGGTTTGTGGCTGGGGAAGAAGAACACATCCAACGTGACTGGGGAGCTGAGCTGAGCCAGAACTAACCCAGAGCCTCTTGGTGGCTGCTGCACACAGACAGACAAGCCAAAACCATGCTCTGCAGGCTGCCAGAGCACTTTAAAGACCAACCTCCAGCCCTGCTGTCAGCATGCCCTCCAGCAGCTCTGCTTCATGGCTCCTCAGGAGCTTCTGCCCCTCTGTAATCCTTCTCCCTTGCTCTCCATGCTTCCCTCCCACCAAACTCCTCCTGCCTTCCTTCCCTAGCAGTAACTGTGAAATCCCCAGCCCATTTCCTGCAGCACCTGCACCCCACTCAGCAGATCCCACTGGCTCCACAGGGCGTGCCTGTCACAGACATCTTTATGAAAAATCCTTTCCTTAGGATTTTTCCTCCTGAGAAGCTGAGAGACCTCAGGAACAAAATGTAAACAATGGTTATCTGCTGCTGTGGAATGCAACAGGTGCATCTGTGATTGGTCTCATGTGGTTGTTTCTAATTAATGGCCAATCACAGTCAGCTGGCTCAGACTCTCTCTCTGAGCCACAAACTTTTGTTATCATTCTTTCTTCTTCTATTCTTAGCTAGCCTTCTGATGAAATCTTTTCTTCTATTCTTTTAGTACAGTTTTAATATAATATATACCATAAAATAATAAATCACGTCTTCTGAAACATGGAGTCAGATCCTCATCTGTTCCCTCATCCTAAGACCCCCATGAACACAGTCACAGTATGCCCAGATCTGCACAACCCAAGCTCTGCTCCTCAGCCCCCTCCAGGACAAATTTGGGTCCCCGTGCAAGGCTGCCATTGGGGAGCAGGACTCACCTGAGGCATGGGGGGTAGGAAGTACCCCTGGGGGGTCTGGAAAGAGCCCAGGAGAGGGCCAGGCAGGGCCCTCATGGTGGCCAGCCTCTGCATGTACTGGTTGGTGAGGATGGCTTTGCGCTCCTCCTTCCGCTGCGCCAGCGCCACGTAGAGAGGCTTGGTGCTGACAATGCGCCCGTTCATCTCTGTCACCGCCTTGGTGGCCTCCTCTGGAGAGGAAAAACATACAAACCCAAAGCCTTTGCTGCGGCCACCCTCTGTCATCACCTAAAACAGGAGGAGAACAAGACAGCTCAGTCCACAGATTGCTGCAGCATCCACAGAACGGCATGGGGTGTTTGTGTGTGTGTGATCCAGCCACAGGCACCCCATTTCAGCCCCCACACCCAGGGTGGGATGGATGGGACTGCACCTCTCCCACAAACAGGTTTCTCTGGGGAAGGGCAGGATTTGCTCAGGCAGTAGGTTTGGGAAATGAAGGTGGAGAGTCTGGACCAGCCTGGGATCGGGAGCCTGTGATCATCTGGGGGGAATCTGTGCCTCAGCCTCCCAGGACCCAAGGGCCAGAAATGTTCTGGTGCTGAATGCTGCAGGAGCCAGCAGGGGATGGGGATCAGTGGGACTCTGTGCCCTGACAAGGGCCAGGCAGCATCTGTCCCTGGCAGGTTACAGGTAGCTGACTTTAAAGCCAGACCATCCCTTACATGTTGCCTTCCAGAGAATCCTGACACCAGTGCCAGTGGAAAGAGTGATATGTCCATGGTGTTCCAAAATGCCAGACATCAGCCTGTCATCCTCCTGTCCTGAGAGAGGTGGCTTGTGGGTCATTTTCATTGTACCACTGTCACAGAGCAGCTGGGCAATATTCAGAATGTTGCAGCTTTAAGGCCCCATATACCTGGCACCTTACCAGGGCTGGGGTAACTCAACAAAGCTACAAAATATTTGCTCCTCAGGACAGTGTGAGGTCAAGCAGCACGTCCCTTACACCTGGCTTGAGATACAAGCCATTAGCAGGGAGGTGTAATTCAACAGGATGATAATCCCTATTCATCCCCAAGGGCTGAGTGCACTGGTTTACTGACCCCAGGAGCTCCAGTCCCTCACCTTGGCACTGGTGATAGTGCCATAGGGCGAGAACTCCTTCCTCAGCCTTTCGTCATCTATCCCATCATCCAAGTTCTTCACATACAGGTTGACCCCCTGCACAGAGGTGAAAATAAAAGCAGCTTGGCATACCAAAATTTACAGCAGTTTGTCACACTGGATGCTCATTTCAGCAGCAGCTCAGCTGGAGGGTGGGACATCCCACAGAGACATCCCCCGCAGGAGCAGTGACACAGAGAGGGGACAGGATTGTGCATAAACTCCACTTGAAATAGATCCCAAGTGAAGAGGACACCCACACCATCAATGGGAACCTGCTGAACCTCATGAAGCTGTCTCATTTCCAGACCAATATTTCTGGAAACTAGCTGACCTATGTGTTCACCTCTCAGCACCATCCTGGGTTTAAATCTCTCCCCTTTCCTGATGTTGCTTCCCAGGACATTCCCATGCAGTGACTGACCCCTCATTGCAGGAGGTGCCCACCATGTTGCTCTGCTCTGGAGAGCTCTGTGCTGCCCCAAGCTGTGTCCCTGTTGCAGATCTGCAGGATGGAGCCCCCTGCTCTCCCTTACCTGGTACCTGCTGACCCTCTCTTGCTTCATCTGCTCGAATTTCCTCTTGAGCTCGCTCTGGCGCTCCAGCCGCTTCTGGGCGCGGCCCACGTACAGCACCCGCCCATTGAGCTCCTTCCCGTTCATGTCAGCCACGGCCTGCCAGGGAGGGAAGGGTCTCAGACAGCGGGGAGCCCCTGGCCACAGCTCTCCTCTCACCCACCACCCCAGGGCAGCCCCAGCATGAGCAGAGACCCGCTCCCCTTGCCAGTTCCTGCCCAGTGCCAGCTCCCAGACAGGCACAAAGCTGGGCCCTACAGCTCCCTCTGAGGAGAGGTGGGGACATCACCAGGTGACAGTCGCAGGACAGAGATGGGCAGTAAAGAGCCTCTTGCCTTCTGGGCTTCCTCGTGCTTCTCAAAGTTGACGAACCCGAAGCCCTTTGAGCGGCCAGTGCTGTCCATCATGACCTTGACGCTCAAGGTTTTTCCTGCAGCAGGGAAGGAAAGCTCAGTCTGAGGGGTGCCCAGCGAGGGGGGGCTGCCAGTGTGCAGAACTGTGCTGGGAACCACCAGGAGACACCAGCCCAGCAAGGACACTGGGCAGCCAGGGCAGCTGGAAGAGCCCAGCAGGACAGACAGCTGGATCCCCATGAGGCAGGGACAGCAGGCTGCAACATTTGGTGAGGGTTATACCTCTAACCCAGGCTGCTGCTCTCATTGCCCTGGGCTCTTCAGCCCCTCCAGCCAGTGCAGGGAGTTCCTTTGGCTAGAAAATTTCATCTCCTTTACACATGAACACAGATTGGGTTCATATTATAGATAACCACAAGTTACTTGGGATGGCACTGACCAAGTATGGCCCATGGATTGGCACAACACTAAAATCCATCACAAGATGCATCCTCCAGTAGTGGACTAAACTGAAAAGCCTGTTTTCCTTACATTTAGACTCAGCAATTCTTATTCCCAGGGTTCCTGTAACCCCACAGTACGCAATAACAAGACAACTTAAAAAAAAACTATCCAAGAAAGAAAAAAACCATACTTTTTTCAAGACAGTACCAGTACAAGTTCTCCTCTGTCACAGCAGGGAAGCACATATAACATCCTGACAAATTAAGTGACTGCAGTCCTTTTATGTGGGGGATGTTTAAACAAGTCCCATCTCACAAGAAAAGTGGCTGCTATTCCAGCCAAGCACTCCCCCCACTTCCTTTTAGGCTGCCCCAACTCCAGTTTTTCAGACACGAGGATATTTCAAAAATGCACTCACCAAACTTGGAGAATATTTCCCTCAGTCTGTCATCATCCATGTCATCCCCAAAGTTTTTGATGTAGACATTGGTGAATTCTATTGCCCTAGCCCCAACCTCTGCCTCGCGCTCTTTGCGGGATTTGAAGTGTCCAACAAACCTGTGGGAAGGAAGGAAAGGGCCTCAAACCCTGCATGTTCCCTGCAGAGGGAAGATGGACTCAGGCACACCTGTCACAGCAGAGGTCAAGAGAGATCCCATGACCTCAGGCCATGCTTTGCTCACCCACAGACTCACCATGAGTTTCACATACAGCACCTTCAGCATGTCTCACTCTGGTGTCCATATACCCAAACTCCCCATTGCCACTGCCACAAGCAGGGATTTGTCACCCCAGGAGACATCAAAAGGCTTCAAAAGGATGCCACCACCACAAAAGACCCCAAAGGACACCACCAAGTGCCAGCTCTGTTCCTCCAAAGTGATCTCCAACACTCTGGGTAGCCCTTGCCTCTGTGGGATGTAGAATGAGGTGATGCAATGCCAACAGAGAGAGGAACAACAGCAAAACCTCTTCCTGCCCAGATTATCTGATGGCAACAGCCAAGATCAAGGACCAGCTCCGCTTTGTGGGCACTCATTACACCTCCTCAGCAATAAAACCCAGCCTGGGGCTGGACTCCTTCCCCACCATCTGGGAGCAGCTCCAAACCACTATCACACTTCCCCCAGCACCCACCACAAGTGACTCACTGTCCCAGAGAGCTACCATGCCCAGCAGGGATGGAAAAGGGAAGAACACAGAGCAGCAGGAAGGGGATGCCTGAGCAGTGCATGCTTTTACTGCCAATAGTGGACCATGGCAAGGGAGGAGCAGAGCCAAGTGAAGGGCCCAGACTCCTCTCTCTGGCACTTACACCTTCCTGTCATTGAGCAACATCCCATTCATGGTCTCAATGGCCCGAATTGCTGCCTCATGCGTCTCAAAGTGGACAAAGCCATAGCCACGGGATCCATTTTCATCACAAACCACCTGCAAACAGAGCATGAAGGGCAAAGGAAAGAAACAGACACTGTTTTTCTCCATGTTTGTACATGAGTGCATCCCAGGAAAACCCAGCCCCATTTCCCCTCCCTGACATCCTGCTCCCACTGCAGCTGAGCTCTTTTGGGATGTTGGCAGCAGGTCAGGGAGGTGGGCAATCCCAGGACCAGATCCATGCTGCTTTATATGATACCCAGGAACTTATGGCTCCCCAAGACCCATTGGTGCACTGAGCTGGAGCAGAATGGCACATAACATCCCTGTGCAGGAACTGGGGGAAAAGCCCCAGTTTAAAAAGCCCCCCAGCCCCTTATTCTGAGGGGGAACATAGCAAAGCCTTTCAGCTTCAAAGCAGCTGGGAATTTAATAGAGATGTTGTGGGAAGTGAAATGAGAAAGGGAATTCCAGCTGGCTGGAGCATGCTTCCAGGGCTGAGGCAGCCCTGCAGCAAGTCCTCTCCTGCAGGGCACACCTACCTTGCATGACAGGATGTTTCCAAAGGTAGAGAATGTGTCATACAAGGCTTTGTTATCAATGGAGTCATCCAGGTTCTTGATGAAGACGTTTCCAACCCCTGATTTCCTGAGCCCGGGGTCCCGTTGGGACCACATGATGCGGATGGGTCGGCCTTTGATCACCTCGAAGTTCATGGTGTCCAGGGCTCGCTCAGCTGGCAAAGGAGGGGAAGGAGAGGGGAGTAACACACACAGATCTGCCTCACATTCTGCAGCAGCTGAGATGGGCGCAGGAACCGGGGACAGGGGCTTGTTGAGCTAAATGGGACAGGCAGCTCTGCCTCCCCACCCCTCCAGCCACACCACTCCTTGACTAATTACTTCTTTTCTCTCCAAAGACACGCCTGACTACCAAGGATCAACCATTTCACAACAAGCTCCAGTCTGGCAGATGCCCAGCTAATTTACCCAGTAAGGATTTTGGTCTCTAGGGCAACTAAATCAACACCTTCCCATCATTACAGCCTCACTTCAGCGTGGAACACCTTCCAATTACAGCACTGTGTCATGGCAATGCCTGCCAGGGGAGCGGCTCACTTTACAGTGTGAGCCAGTTGGCGGCTGGGTACCCCAGGGGAAGGGCAGAAGGGGTTTTGGTGCCCTTCTCTGATGGAGAAGGAGGAGGGAGGCCACTCCTGCAAGTCACCTTCAACCCCTCACCAGAGCCCAACAGCTGCATCCTTTCCCAGATGCTAAGAAGAGATGGAAGCAGGATGGGTCACCATCAGAGAGAAGGCTGGGGTTGGTTATAACCAAGCCCCAACAGCAATGCAGCCATTCAGACAACTGCTCCCCCCTCTCCCAAGGCCCACCCAAGTCCCTACTGTGAGGCAGCTCCTCAGAGCTGCATGAGGAAGGAACCTACCATCCACAGGCTGCTGGAAGTTGATGTAGGCGTAGCCCAGTGAGCGGCGCGTGGCCACGTCCCGGCACACCCGGATGGACATGATGGGCCCAGCAGGGGAGAACTTCTCATACAGCATGGCTTCTGTCACATCTGGGTGCAGGTCTCCCACGTAGAGAGAGGCTAAGGGATAGCCAGGGCCACTGGCATTCATGGTCACCCACAGAGCTCAGCTGCAGGAGGAGACAGACCCGAGGCTGCAGGGCACAGGTTTCAGATTGCCTGTGCAATCACAGGCCCGCACTGGGGCTGGCCCCATTGTAGCAGCACAAGTCAGAGCAACGCCCTCCCCTTCCCATTCCACTAGGATCAGGAATGCCCCAAAGAAGCTGCAATATCAAAGCTTTCCAGGACATAATTTTGGTGCAAAAGTTGAGCTGGAGTGTTCTGCACCTCACAGCCCTTATACATCCTAGAAGGATGCACTACATACTACACACAGAGAGATTTGCTCCTTAAAACACACAAACCCCAAAAGAAATAAAATGGAGCTTAATTTCTCAGAAGGTTAACAGCCCTTCTCCACCAGAGACCTCCATTTTAACTCCTTAATGGCTCCCTCCAGCTGGGGCAGACCCAAGGACTGGGAGTTTGATGCCAGGGAGCAGAAGTGCAGCCCACTGCTCCCTGCAAACAACTCCATCTCTAACAAGGCAGACACAGGGTTTTAGCCACCCCTTCCTAGTTTCTCAGCTTGTTGACTACTGTTTCCATAGCAGGCATTTTGATGCTCAGTCTCTGCCTGGTTTCAGTTGAGTATAAAGTTCTGTGTGAAGACAACAGTCAGTGCTTGAGACCCCCGGGCTACTGCCTAGGAACATAGAAATGCAGGTCCTGCCCCAAAAGTGTATAAATCCATCCTTAGGGCTCTTACCTTAAAGCTCAAAACTCCTGAGATACTTGTTTGGACACCTATAGATACCCAAAATTAATACACATATATAG